ACCTGTGGATGTCGACACCCCAGCATAGCCGCCTTCTCGCGAGCACATACCGCCGGTCAGACGAATTCCCCCTCGGGCCTGCTGTGGAAGGCGACACCCCAGCATAGCCGCCGTCTCGCGCGAACATACCTCCTGTCAAACGAGTTCCCCCTCGCTCATGCTGTGGATGTCGACACCCCAGCATCTCCGCCTTCTCCAGAAAACATACCTCCTGTCAAATGAGTTCCCCCTCGCTCCTGCTGTGGATGTCGACACCCCAGCATCTCCGCCTTCTCCCGAAAACATACCTCCTGTCAAATGAGTTCCCCCTCGCTCCTGCTGTGGATGTCGACACCCCAGCATCTCCGCCTTCTCCCGAAAACATACCTCCTGTCAAATGAGTTCCCCCTCGCTCCTGCTGTGGATGTCGACACCCCAGCATCTCCGCCTTCTCCCGAAAACATACCTCCTGTCAAATGAGTTCCCCCTCGCTCCTGCTGTGGATGTCGACACCCCAGCATCTCCGCCTTCTCCCGAAAACATACCTCCTGTCAAATGAGTTCCCCCTCGCTCCTGCTGTGGATGTCGACACCCCAGCATCTCCGCCTTCTCCCGAAAACATACCTCCTGTCAAATGAGTTCCCCCTCGCTCCTGCTGTGGATGTCGACACCCCAGCATCTCCGCCTTCTCCCGAAAACATACCTCCTGTCAAATGAGTTCCCCCTCGCTCCTGCTGTGGATGTCGACACCCCAGCATCTCCGCCTTCTCCCGAAAACATACCTCCTGTCAAATGAGTTCCCCCTCGCTCCTGCTGTGGATGTCGACACCCCAGCATCTCCGCCTTCTCCCGAAAACATACCTCCTGTCAAATGAGTTCCCCCTCGCTCCTGCTGTGGATGTCGACACCCCAGCAATCGCGCTGCACCGTCCGCCACTCTCCTTATATCTTCGATTCCCCTCGTTGAGGAGCTGAGCTGTCGAGCTCCATCGTCCATCGCTCCATTGTATCATCGATACCCATGACAGACGTGGTTGTCGTGCTGAGCTGTCCAACTCTCTTCTGTATCATCGATACCCCTCGCAGACCTCGTGGTCGTGCTTGGCTGGTTGTACTAAGATGTGTGCTCTTTATTCATTTTCATGGAATTTCCAACACTCTGGCGACAATTTCAGTCGGACAATCTCGGTGGGTTAGCATCATCCAGCAAAGCTGGTGACGTAGATGCTGGACAAGAAAATTTGCGTGCAGTGACAATCGAGCCCACCTGGCAATTCGTCGCATCAACCTTTGGCACCGACCGACCGACGCAGCGATCGATCCTTACCGACAAATGCGATAGATAGGTCGCTGTGGGGCATCCCCTGCTGTTGCGATGAGTTTCATGCGATGCTGTTGCGCCTCAACGAATTCCGCCCTCCTTCTCGCCGGAGACAAGCGTTGTGGATCGCCGACATCGTTATGTCCACCACGGAAGCTGTGGTCGGAGTGTCGGAATGAGAGGAAGAGCAATGCGGGGGTGAGGTGGATCATGGGATTCGAGAGCGGCAGGAGAGGATCCGGATCGAGTTCAGTGGGTGTGCGATGCAATTCTGACAAATTAGGTCTGGTGGGTCGTTCAATCGCATGGAATTTTGGGGACTTCGGTGGATTTGTCTTCCGGCTTGGGTATGACGGCTTCTTGGATACGTCTATGAATTGGCGGGGGGGGGGGGGGGGGGGTGTTTGTTTGTTTTTCGCTCATGTCTGTAGTTGCGCAGGAGGGTTGGCTGGAATCGAGAACGAGGGTGTTGAGAGGACGAGGAGGCAGGTCTTTGACGATGGGTTTGTGCTGTTTCCGCAAATGTGGAGCAAGGAGGAGGTCGCGGCTGCAGCTGAGGGTGATTTGGTGGTGGGCAGAGCGCAAGAGGAGATACTGAAATCGTTTCTGGTGGGTCCTGTTGGTGTTCATTCCCAGCGCCAGTGGCTCCATGCACCAGGATATCGTTGTACGGACGCAGCCACTTCACCTGAGCCCTACTGGCACCATTCCTGGCAGGTGAACTCATCTTTCCTTCATTCCTATCGTATGCCACTGCAATTAGCATTCTGTGCTGCTCTGTGATGGACGTAGGAAAATTTTGGTGCTTTGTGACCGATATATTCAAGGCTGAATTGGAATTTATACTCTTGTTTTAAACCTAACATCTCAGTTATTCCTCATTGGGCACATTTAGGAGCTTTTAAAACGTGGGACGCTGTTCTGCATCCTTTGGCGCGTACTACTTACTAGACCGTGCTATAATATTTACAATCTCTGTGCGGTGGCTTCTATAAAGGCATCTAGTTATTGTTGTTTGAGTTGAAGCTACTTCTGAATCGAACCCCTGATGTCGACCTACTCAATTTCGCATAGTCCATGGATTGTGCATGGTGTTTTTCAGACATCTGGTATGGAGAGCGAAGATTTGCAGCTTCCCCAGATGCCCACATGGAGTGCAGCGCTAATTGTATCTTTGTCAGGTACATCATCAGGCTTTCAGGTCAAGCTGTTGTGAGCTCTGCAGTATAAGATTAAGAATACTCAATGTATGAACTTCACCCAAACTTCCGTTACATTGTGTATGCGGATTATGGCGATCAAGGGGACTATGGGATGATTGATACGATGAAGTTTGGGTACAGGGCAGATAGGAACGCGAAGATGTTCTGTGGAGGAGTGGCTGTTTTCCCCAGAAGCCATTGGATTATACAGGATTGGATTGCAAGTCCTTCAGGTCAATCGCCATTTCCGCAGCCTTTTGACGTACCCGCTGCGGCTCCTACGGAGGTATCGCCACATACCTTCTGCCGAACTTATTGTGGTTTATCTTCTGAAATTGGAATGAGGTCAGGGATGCCAAAATATCGGAGCCTAGTTACATTTGTTATTACAGCTGAATATATTACTCCGCACTATCTCTTTATGGCTCTGCACATGTACCATGTATACTTTGTCTTGGATGTGTTTAGAGGCTGAAGTAACTATACGATTTGGTGTAGTTGAGACTCGAGTGTGGTGACGCGGCGTTGCTCAACCCATTGTTGGCATATACTATTACACCCAATGTCTCCTCAATTCCAGCGCAGTTCCTCATTTTCAATCTAGGTGATGTAAAATCGAATCAAGGCAAATTAAGGTGAGGATGAGCTTTGCTTGTTTATCTTATGGTTATTAAAATAACGTTTGTAGCATATAATCATTGATATCGACTGGCTTCAAGGTTCCTTGTTTGAGCCCATCAAAATATTTGCTTCATGACATCATAGCTCGTTCAAATTTGTAGAGAAATATAAGGTTGCTACGAAGTTGGAGCTTATAGACTAGAAGTTAAGTTTTTCAATTACAAACCGTATCTGGAATGCGAAAACACCGCAAGAAGTTGGGATTGATTCTAAAGGTGCAGGATCGACGAGGGTGAGCAGATGTGGAGAGGGTGGCTCTCCATGACACAATTCCTGATGGATCAAACTCTCAGTGTCGAGGAGGAGATGGTTCAGCTGCAGATAGAAGAGGAAAAAGCACAACTTGGCGGCTGGCAAGGTACCACGACAGGCCTGACAACGGACTTATCCAGTTTTTCAAGTACTCGAATCGCACCTCGGGACCTTCTAGCTTGGCGCCTCCGGACTTCCGCTGTGCAATTTATGCGAGGTAGGGCGGCAGAATGGCTTTGTTTAAGGATTTTCAAGTACGTTTTTCTCCTCAATACAGGATACTCTTTAAAGAATAGTGCTCTTACCTGACACGTACCTGACTACTTACAGATGGACAGTGGAGTAGCGCTCTTAGTGTACTGCTGCGGCTATCAGGACTGCGCCCAACTTGTTACTGGATAGCTCTTCAGGTACAAACACTGCTCAATTTGACCTCTATTCGATCAGTTTTATGTTAAAAGACTTCCTGGATGGACTTCTTTGCTGAACCTCTAGCACCATTATGCTGACGTGACTTACTTTTCAAGATTAAGATGTCTGTTGTCGTGCTGTTCTAGCCACGTTTATCGACAGGAGTAGTTTTATTCTTGTCCCTTTCACATATGCCATCCTGAAGGGCATCGATATACTGTTTTAAAAGCAAGTGACTTGGCCCCTCAAGGTCTTGCATGTTAATAAAGGAATTCAATACACTAAGAAATTTAAAAAGTTATTTGCCTAGCTTGAAATCTTGAGGTTGTCTCACCAATAGTAGAATGTGTGTCCAACAGGCAGGTCAATGTTGTATGAAGAGTGCCCCTGCAGGCCAATTGGGCGGTCGAGCCGGTCGAAAGTGCACGTTGGAAGATGGCGAGAGAATTCTAGAACGAGCCATCCAGGTATCCCTTCTGTTTGCAGTCATTTATGTGTTCTTTCCGAATTCTATGCACACATGCGTGTCAACAACTATTTGTCTTATTTTTTACTTCGGGTTCTTTAGATCCTTCTTTCGATTACATCCCTCACTGCCGCACCTAGAACTGTGGCAAGATTCTTGGTGTGGCCCATGGGCGTACGCTTTCATCTTTTGATAGCTCCTGATTCAGTGAATTACAGTGACTTAGATTCTTGGTGATTCCACGTAGATTATGTTATTCTAAGCCTTCGACATTGCTGTACTGCCTGATAGATTGCTCCTGGCTGGCCCCTCGCCTATGTTGAACTCATCAAGTGTCTAGCCCTCATGGTACGTACTTTTTGTATTTCAGGTTGTTGATAAGCTTTGGATAGCTATTGAAAAGCTTTAGTTCGTTCAAAAATCTGTATTACATTGTTTATGTTTGAGATTTCTACTGATATATCAGGGTCGAGGAAGGGAGCAAGAGATTCCAGTGGTGACGAAGATAATGAAAGAACGTTGTAAGTTGGAGCAGCTGTGCTTGCGATATCCAACCGTTTCAGATCAACTACGAGAAAGTTGGAACGAGTGTGAAGAAGTATGCAACACTGCTGGGGAAAGAGTTTGATTAGATGTTGGCTCCTCTGCTTCTTATGTTGTATTGTTGAAGTTCACGGTAGTAGTGAAAACACCCATCATGGCAATCATTTCAATAATTTTCGTAAGCTTCACTTGGGCCGCTGGGATGGGAAAAGCCTCATGTTTTAGGTTATGCAATATGTTACCTGTTTTAGAACTGACTTGAGTGATATGTGGAAGTAAATGATCTGATAACATGTAATTTCAAATTATTTAATATTACCGCAATTGCAGTATTCTTAACATGCAAAGGGAGCCCAAAATTATTCCTCAAAATCATTCCTACTTGCGATTAGTTCATTGAAGAAAAGGCTGGAGATCGTTATGTCATAAAACCGCAATGGATTAGTGGTTGGACAGTAGGAATTAGTGAGCATAGAATTTGACAAACTTTAAATAGTAAGGTAAATGTGATGAACAAGTCAAAAGTAATAATTGTAAGCTTATGAATCTATAATAAAGAGGACATTTCTGTATATAATATTAAGCTCTTCCAATATAAGACATTTCATCAAAACATAAGATATCATCCAACCTAATTGTTTCTCTAGTATGGCAGCAAGTAGTTATTGAGTTTTACATACTGAGTTTTAAATACAAGTTTGTCTCTCTTGTACAACTCTAGTGTGCAAAAGAATTGAAGTCTTTTTTATTGTTCTTTATTTATATTCCAAATTACAAAATTATGCCTTATTTTACTTAATATAGATAAGTAGGACAATATCTTATATTAGAAGAGCTTGATAATTGGTGTTACTGTTGCTACCACAATTTGCCATCTACTACATGCCATCATAGTATTTACTACTTCTACAATTTATTCTTATTGACCTTTCAGTTTTTTTATAATAAATTTTATTTTTTATATAGTTAAAAAATTAAAATTTTAACAAGTAAATTCATTAGAATAAAAAAACCAAAAAAAATGTTAAATGGATGGCAAGTTTTGGTGGTAATAGCTAAAATTGTGGTGATGTTAATAATATCTTTGATAATATCCCAACATGCTTTTATGTTTAACCTATGTGAGATGTCTCTAAATTCAAAAACTATTAATTAAAATTTGGTTAGGAATGTTTAAAAATATCATGTTGATTAAAATCTACAAATTTATTTTTTAAATTAATAACACTCTCTATACAAAAAACAATAGATGTCATGCAAGAAACTAATAATGAATAAATAAAATAAGAACTTAAATGATTATCTAAATATTTGAAAGGAAAAAAAAAGTCTTTAAATTATACATCAAATAAAAATAAAGTAATAAGTTTGATTCACAACAACATTCACAAGTGATTTTAGAGTGTGTTCTTTTTTTAAAACTCATTTTCCTAATGACAAAACCTCTCAATCTACAAACTGCTTGCAATTGCAGTTTTTTGCTATCAACTTTTGATAGTTTGCAATTCAAGTTCCTGGCTTGCCAATTGATCTTTCCAGTGAAACCCTAATGAGAATTACCCCATACAAAAGTAGATTGAGGAAGGTAGAGTCAAATCTTAGAAATTATGCCAAAAGAAAACTTGGCTCTATACACACACATGGATTCAAGACAGACAAATTTAGCAATAAGCGAACGTCCTTTGGGCGGGCACCCATCTCGGATACAACGAACGATATAGATGGGGCATGGCCGACGGGCAGGTGGGCAGCTCAGACGGGCAGGTAGGGCGTTGCCCCTGCTAAACCCTACAAACGACGTCGTCGTCCCTTTTCCAACGATCTCACATGCGCAAAGCGTCGCACAAGAATTCTCAAGAATTTAGCACGAAATTCACGGGCCGTTCATTTTTAAGGAGACATAAAATTTGCGATCGACCTTCGAAGTAGAAGATTGTGTTTGCGACAGAGTTTGTGACGCATTTGTATGCAGAAGTCCGTGAAAGAGGTGGAGGCAGAGAGTGTGCAGGATAAGGTGAATTGGGTTCGGTGAGCAGAGGATTTCGCACGTCGTTTTGGGTTGAGGGATTCTATCGCAGGAGTTTCGGGAGAGCGCGACAGTTTCTTCAAATTAGGTTTACATGGATGCAGGGATAGACTACATTTTTAGGCACTGAGGGAAAAGGGTTGTATTGTGAGGAATCTGCGGAGAGGAAGGTGGTATCATGGCTGCCTTGCTAATTCCTCCCTCCTCATGCTGTTCTTCGCCCAAGTTCCTACTCTGCTCTCGCGGCTCATCCTCCACTTCCCCCTTGCTTGTTCTCCTTCGTTCTCTCTGCTTTTCGTCTCACCGGAACACCTCCTCGAAATTGACTTACCGTGTGGCGCTGAGAGCTTACCAGCATCCTTTCAGAGCTCTCCAGAATCAAGTTCCCATTAACGTTTTCCGTACCTCAGTTATACGCCGGTGCGTTCTTAGCACAGTTATCAGGCCTCTGGTGTTTATTTGGAATCTATTCGTCACCCCATTTGTTGGTCAGACGCCACTTCAACCGTTAATCGTTGACATTGTGTATAATCTTTGAAATCCGCATGTAATCTTTCTGCACACTGTCCCAAAGTGTACATTAAATTAGGTTGGTTTGGTAATTGGGGTGTAATCATGCAGGCGGGTTTTTGGGAATAATGAAAGGACTGTGTGTTGTGATGACTCCGCAATAACCTTGAAAACGTTGGGCGGAAGCAGGAGTTTCCACGGAGTCGATAGGAACGCATATTTGCACAGAGAAGGACAGAGGCGGGCCATAACTACATGTCGAGTCGCCAGCGATGCTCTTGATGCAGACGTCAAAGCTTATGATGCAGGCCAAATTCAGGTTCTTGTCTACGTATTAATGCATTTCATTTCAAGAGTATTGAAATGTAAGTTTCTCCGCTTAATTTAGTATCATTGAATCCAAATGTGCGCATTCGCTAAATGAAGCATCGGTGCTCGGGTTTCATGCAGGTTCTTGAGGGCTTGGAGGCTGTTCGTAAGCGTCCGGGAATGTACATTGGCAGCACAGGGACTAAGGGGCTCCATCATCTTGTCAGTATTACCCGTTTCAGCTGTTCGTCACGATTTGCAAGTAGTATTCATTTATAAGTCTTTCAAGAGAATCCAGGAAGTATTGCATTTGGTTGCTACTCTTAGAAAGCGCAGTAGCTTTAGCAACACACGATCTTTTCATTGCAGTTGTATTGAACCTAGTGGTATCTCTGTTAACAATGTGAAGGTATACGAAGTTCTTGATAATGCAATTGATGAGGCTCAAGCAGGGTTCGCTTCTACGGTGGATGTAGTAATCCATACTGATGGTTCTGTCAGTATTTCAGACAATGGACGTGGGGTAAGTTTCTAGTCTTTGTGAGTTTAGGTCTTCGTGGCTGCTTAGCGTGGGTTACAAATGTTTTGAGTTGTGATTTTATTTGTTTATTTCATTCTTAACCTTTGAAATTTTCAGATCCCTACAGATGTTCATCCGGTAACAAGGAAGTCCGCGCTGGAGACTGTGCTTACGGTAACCCGCAATCCTCCCATCCTTGATACATGCTGTCTTTGTGTATCAGATTAAGTTGCGCTGTTTGCTGAAAGAGTGCATCAAGTCTTCAGAAATAAGTAGAAGGGGTTGTTGTGCGTAGTACCGTTCTAAGGTTCGCTGGGGTTCTATCTTGCAAGGGTCTAAACAGAATTCAAATATCATGAAGCTGTGTGTAGGTGACTCTTACTTTGTGTACTTGAGTTGAATAGTAGTTTTCTTGGGTTATTCAGGTTTTACATGCAGGTGGTAAATTTGGAGGAGAAAGCAGTGGGTACAGTGTCTCTGGTGGCTTGCACGGTGTCGGTATCTCAGTCGTGAATGCTCTTTCCGAGGTACTCCTCTTTTCTTATAGAAACTTAGGAAATAGGTGTAACCATGGAGATTTATGCTTTTCTCAAGTAACGATTGATGTATCGGTCCATTTTTGCTGCGCACACTTGTAGACTTCTGTATCTAATCAATCACTAAATAGTCACCATCTTTTCTGATGGCAGAGGGTGGATGTAACGGTTTGGCGCAATGGCCACGAATACAGGCAGTCTTTTGAATTTGGTAAAGCTGTATCACCTCTCAGCGCCTTTCCGCTTCCGAACGACCAAAAAGGGCGTACAGGCACGCGTGTTAAGTTTCTCCCGGACAAGCAAGGCAAGTTATACATTGCATTGTCACTTCCGTCCATACTATGTACTTGGTAAATTGGTCTGTTCTAGTCGTATGATCAAATTTTTAGTCCGTGTGCAACTTAACCTTCCTTTTTTAATAACTGTGTTGCAGGCTGAAAGGTGTTCTGCTTGTCCTGTATTTTCGAAACTGAGAATTAGTTTATCATTATTGCAGACCTGTAAGAACGAAATTCACTTGTTTTTGAAAGAAGATTTTGGTCAGGCAGCGTATGGTCCCACTTCCAGAATATGACAAGTTACTGTTGGGGTGGTTGGTGTCTAGCTACCTTTTAGATGTTTCTCCATGTCCTAACTATGGTGATGGAGATGTTTTATCCAGTGTTCACATCAACTACTGAATTCGACTACAATACCATTTCTGGGCGTGCCCGTGAACTTGCATTTCTTAATCCCCAGGTACTAATTTTGTTCCCTAGTAACTCGCACTTCAGTTAAACAACTTTGCTGTAGAGGTTACTGTTAGAATTGATGAAGTGGGGATTAAGTTTGAGATATATGACTGGTTTGTGCAGGTTACTATAAACTTAATGCAGGAGCATGCAAATTCAGAGAAAGTTCGCTCTAATGCATATCACTTTTCTGGGGGCCTTAATGAGTATGTTCTATGGCTTAACAATGATAAGGTACCGTTCTATAGACTACATGAGTTTGTAAGTGCTGGTATCAGTCTGTCATGGAGCTGCAAATTCGAGTCTTCACTGCCTATACAGCGAACTTGGATATTCATACTCATTTTCACATCAGATCTTAGACTTAAAATTGATGGAAGGAATAGGACTTACAAAATACTTTGGGACTGTTGACAGGAGCGTTTGCATGAACCTATATCTATTCACAGGGAAAGAGAGGGCGTTGCTATCGATGTGGCATTACAATGGTCAGCCTCTTTCACTTTGCTTTCTTTGAGAACGTTGTTGCCATTATGTTTTGAAAACTTATTATCTTCACTGCCAGGGTTTGTTATTTGATAATAATTGTGATAAGCGGATCAGTGCTTCCGTACGTTGACGATTGGGCATAGTTTTGGGCTTTTGTCAAGTTCTCCAGGATTCATTTCTCCATAAGAACTTTTAGGCAAAATACAGTGAAGTTCATGAAGGCAGGATGTAAGTGTTGGAGACTGATTAAAAGAATGTGCATGAATTTGATTTAAAGATCTGTTGTTTTTGCGCTTCTTTGGTCCAGGAGTGCTGATCAATACACGGATACCATTTTAGGGTATGCTAATAGCATTCGCACTTCTGACGGTGGTACTCACCTAGATGGAATGAAAGCTGCTGTTACTCGTACACTTAACACTCTTGGAAGGAAGGCAAAAATTTTGAAGGTATATTCGGACTTTAACTACTTTCTGTTTCACCATACATGAAATGAGACAAATTGGTGATGTCTGCATATGTTTGCTGCCGGCCATGTGTGATTGCTGTGAGTAAACTGTAATACTAAGCATGGTAAGTAGTTTACATTTCTTGGAGGGATTACCGAGGTCATCTTAAGAAGGTTTTTCTGAGTTCGACGTTTTTGTGAGCATTTCAGGAGAAGGACGAAAACTTGTCAGGAGACCACGCTAGAGAAGGTCTTACTTGTGTTGTTGCAGTGAAGGTTCCCAATCCAGAGTTTGAGGGACAAACTAAGGTACTCATATGGCAGTATGAGATTAGAATGATGGCGATATGTTATGGTTTATTTTGTAGTGGGTTTGCATATTGCCAGCGATATTCTTGTCTTAGAGATATTTTAGCAGGGCATCTTGGGGAATACTTAGATGAGATCGACGCTCGCTAAAAATTTGAAAAATTTGAAAAATAAAAAATTCGTCGGTCTTCTTGATGTTACGTTGTTTCTTATCGCGTAGGCACTATTTAGAATGAATTGAGGTTAATTCCCCTCTATGTCAAAAAATGTTCAACTGCATATTCTTATAGGTTTCATAGCCGTGGCAATCAATAATTTGTTAACTTAAACGTCCTGTTTTATTTTCTGTAGAGTGACAATGTCTGCGTGGGTGGGGACAGACACGGTTAGGAAATCCAGAAGTACGACGAATTGTTGACCAAGCAGTTCAGGAGTTGGTTACCGAATACTTGGAACAGCATCCCAACACTCTTGAGGCTATATTGTCCAAGGCTCTTCAGGCTTTCAGGGTACGGGGATGTCCTTATCATTCCTCAAACTTTCAGGCATTTGTATGGGAATTTTTGAACAGTTCATTTTAAGGTTATTTGTTTTGTTGGTTCCCTCCTCACTCTTTGGGACACTCTGGGGCTCTCGATCTTTGGTATCTGCAGTGAGCAGTCTCTTAGGTTTTCGAGTCTGATCTGAATGTAACTTTTTTGAGATCAAACGATTGTTGCGCTAATTTTATTCAGTGTCTACTGCATGATTGCAGGCAGCAATGGCTGCAAAGAAAGCAAGGGAGCTTGTGAGACGAAAGAATGTTTTAAAGTCCTCCATGCTCCCTGGAAAGCTTTCTGATTGTTCCTGTACAGATCCCAGGAACGCTGGTGCGTCCTTGTTCATCTTCTTCTCTTTTTAATTTAAAAAAAGTAATTATTATAAAGTAAAACACCCCTGAATGTATATTCTTTGTCTAACAAGCATATTGATTAGGTAAATTACCGTAAGTTTGCTGGGCATAATTTATCTCAAGCAGTATGATGTAAATTCTTTATGTAACACTTTTTTTTTCCTCCTATTTCTTTTCACTGGATAGTGTTCTTGGACCATCTTATCTCAACACTTTTGATTTACTTGGCACGTTTGAGAGAATTCCTCATAGTACATATATGTGATATTCTCATGCAACAGAAATTTTTATTGTGGAGGGAGATTCTGCTGGAGGCAGTGCCAAACAGGGCCGCGACCGTCGTTTCCAGGTTTGCGTTTGCAACCAGTATTCCGTAACATCCAGTGGGTTCTTTTTGCTAATTAATAGGTTAAGGAAAGGAACAATTTGATGTTAGAAGTCTGTAAAGGTTATGGTTCACCTTCCTTAATGTGTTAGTTCTTGTGAATGAGGGCAGGCAATATTACCACTTAGAGGAAAAATTCTGAATATTGAGCGCAAAGATGATGCTGCTATTTATAAGAATCAGGAGATTCAGAATTTGATCTTGGCATTGGGACTTGGTGTGAAGGTACATATATCTTATCCCTTCTCTGCAATCAACTGACAGAAAACGTTTTGACAATCAATTTTCAATAAATATACGCTGGATGTGCTGCGGAATAGATTCTCATTTGCGTATTGATCACAGGGTGAGGAGTTTAGTAAGGATTCATTGCGTTACCACAAGATAATTATTCTGACAGATGCGGATGTGGATGGTGCTCATATCCGCACCTTGCTTCTAACATTCTTCTTTAGATATCAGGTAATTGAGAGTCTCTCTTCTAATCCTTGCTTCTTTTCTGTAGCACTGAGGCTGAGCTGAATCTTATTTCAATATTGTAAGCTGATTATATAATGCAGTGTTGGAACAATGTATCATTTGAATAAGAATGTCACCTCAAGTATATTTTGGTAGGTATTTAACTGTTTGGTTTGGCTTGTTAAACAGAGGGCTCTGTTCGAGGCTGGATGTATATATGTTGGAGTACCACCACTTTATAAGGTACTTTTTACCTGGAATCTTCCTTTTTGTGTATGTTTGGTACTTCACTAAGAGACTGTGCATGTCAGAACACACAAGACTTGTGTGCCAGCCTTCTAGCTCATCTTAAGCTGGGTCTTCGAGGGTCCGTGTTACCACTGGAGTTCAGAGACTTGAGGCTGAAAGTTGAAATGAAACAACTTGTATGTGATCTACCTCGTTGAATACAGATATGTTGCTTTATCTTCAAAGGAAACATAAACGAGACATGTTTCACGTGGAATGCTAATAATCTATTTTTGTTCGTTCATTTTAGGTGGAAAGAGGGAAGCAAGCTCACTATTGTTTCAATGAATCTGACTTGAAGAACGTGTTGAAAACCTTTCCCAGCAATGCGTCCTATAACATTCAACGATTCAAAGGTTTGCTGCCTTATTACCGACCTTGTCTGCATAACTATGACTGGAGATCTATATTATTTATTTACTTATTTATTGTTTTGGTTCCTTCCCTTTATTGAACATGCTTACAAGGATTTTATTTCGATTCTCGTAGGGTTGGGAGAGATGATGCCACAACAATTGTGGGAAACCACACTTGACCCGCAGCAACGCATGTTGAAGCTACTAACATTGGAGGATGCTGCTGAGGCTAGCATGATGTTTTCTACCCTCATGGGAGATAAGGTGCTATGAGTTCTCCAGTCTACATCTCATCAATCTCTGCGGCTGTTTTAGAAGCTATTTGTGTTCCAGAAAGACTTAGCGATATAATCACTAGAACTGGTGTCAATAATACTTTCCTTCTTTTCTCATTAAGTTGGTGGATTCTTCCTCAGGTGGAGCCTCGGAAAGAGCTTATTCGAACTAATGCATCACGGATGAAGTTGGAGAACCTCGATCTATAGCCTCCAAGTTGCTAATGTTTCAGACACTCTCTGATTTCTAGGTTATGCAATCTCGAACAATGAACATTCAAAACAGGAAATTTTCTATCTATTAGAGGGCTTAGAGGGTCACCTTGTCAAGTTGAAATGTCCCCTTTTATTTGGGGTCATTATGGAAATTGGAAGAAAAACCATAGATTTTTATATGGGGTTTTGACACTGGGAATCAGTCTGTAAGCTTTATTTTAAGAACATTTTCAAAGTGATTCACAAGCAACAGGCTCTTTGTCGCCTATAAATGTTTAAGTAATGTAGAAGCTCTGTGCCAGGCCAGGTCTTTTTATCTGTGTCAATAATTTGGGAGGAAAATGCTTCTTCATGACCCAGCCATGGATCATAATTCGCTCAGATTAGAGTTACACAAGGGAGGTTAAATCTGCAAAAAACTTCTCCTTAGTAACAAATCATAATCTAAATTTGATATTGTAATACCAATTAACTACTTAATAAAATGTAGCTTACTTAAAGTTTACAATCAATACCAAGAGATGTAAGTAACTTGATTTCAGCTAAATTGTTTGCATAAAAATTTAAATTTTTACTTGGTTTAGAGACGTGATTACTTAAAGATAAATACTTTGCAAAGCAATAAATCATCAATATAATTTGTTTTTAAAACCAAATATTTTTTCTCACTTGTGAGTTATAATCACAAAATGAATCCTATCTTTTTTATATTTGTGTTTCTAGTTTTCTTGATTGGTATTAGAAAATTATAAAAATAGAATTGCTTCAAGAAACGCTGTAGCTGTATAAATCTCTATTCTTCATGGCAAAAGTAATAATAATCAAGAACATATTGAGTTTAACTATAATAGCCTTTTAAATTGCATTTATTTTTAGCTATAAATAAAAAATTACAACTACTTACAAATTCCAAAAAAATAAAAAAATCAAATAAAATCCGATACTCATTTTTAATAACAAATCCTTTTTTTAATTGTATTTAGATCAGAAGACAACACCTTCAATTTTTTATGTTCAAATTTTACTACAAAAGGCTAATAGCAATAAGTAGTAAAGTAGGGATTAAATGCTTTTTCCAAAGCACTATGATTTTATTATTTCTATTCAAGTTTTTGTTGTAATTAAGATGTTACAAACTTTGGCATGTCAGCCATATTTCTTAATAATATGAAGCATCAATGTAATAGAGTGCGATTTTTTTTAAAAAAAATACAAAATAAGAGAATTGATGTGGATTTGTCTAGTTGTAATAAATTAAAGTATCTAAATATTCTCAAAGAATGCTACAATGGATAGCAATAGAGAATATTCCATTGAAAGGACAAGTTGTCTATCTTAGTCCAATAATTTTTTATTTTTTATTTTTTTAAATTAAAATTCTTTTGCAAGAAATAACATTATCTTCTTCCATATGAAATTCTATTCTTCTAGAATTTTTCATGGTGAACTCTCATTGATTTCTCTAATCTCTACTAAGAATCTCCCAAACTATCTTTTCATTCTAACTCTCTATGAATACAACATATAATAAAAATAAAAATAAAAAGTTGTAAAATTCATAAAAATAAAAAATAAAAATTCTCTATGAATACAAAATAAAAAATAAAAATAAAAAGTTGTAATTGAGCCTATGTTAAGGTCTTTATATATTAGTAATATTTATGTAAACCTCAAAATCTTTTGCCTCATATATGCTAAATTTGTATAAATTTGTATGATAAAACTTTTTAAATGTCTATTTTAAGACAATTAACAAAAAAAAATCCTATATAATTTTGAATAGCTCAAATAACTCACGTGATTACCCCAAGTTTATTGAACTTCAAAGCATGTTTTGAAGACGAAAAAAACAGACAAGAATAGGAGGAGGGGGTCACTCCCGGTCTACACGTTCCCACGTTCCATAAAGGAAACGTTTCATCGAAATGGATGAAAGATCAGCCTATAATCATCCGAATGGATGGATGAAACGAAGTGCAGAAGAGGTCGGCGACGCCACCATCACCAGCAAACAATTCAAATTGCATTCAAATCTGCATTCCGCGAGACGACAAATCCTTGTGATTATTATTATTATTATTATTATTATTGTTGTTGTTGTTGTTGTTGTTGTTTTGTTTATTGTTTACGTTTTAGGGTTTGAAGCACCGAAATGGAGGGCAAAGCAATCACCACCGAGGTCCTTCGTGCGGCCATTCAGGTATTAATTACTATCCTTGGCTCATTCTGCAACATCAGTAATCTGAGATTTTTGCATGATGAAATCGTGAGTTGAATCGCGAGTTTGATGGTGGCATGATCGGGATTGCGATGGAAGATTGAAGGCACAGCCGACGAAGGGATTGAGGAGCGCAAGCAAGTGCTCCCTGTGAATGAGATTCGCTGGCTTAACTTCTCTTTTAAAGGTTCTTTTTGGTCGTGACCGTCATTCCTTTGGTAGGGATTTTGTTTGATTGTGGCTGGTGCGGCTGCCAGTCTCTGACTATCGTTTGAATTTGGATCCGTCTTATTCATTGTTAAATAGGCTTTCGGTGGGAAATGTGGATTTTCGTAATTTGAATGAGAGAGGAGGAATTTAATGCGCGTGATAGTGTTTGTGCAAGCGGTGCAGGAATTAAGAATATTGATTACCTGGTTGGCTTGGAGCGTCTTGTTAAGCTACAGCTTGACAACAATAACATCACAAAGATTGAGAACTTAGAACATCTCCACACACTTACCGACCTTGGTATGGTTGATCGATTCTGAGTGGCTTGAATCACTGGCCAAGTGGTGATCCTGATCGTGGGAATGACGAACTGTGAACAGATTTTTCTGCTGATTTCATGGATTTTGTTGATATTTTCTTCTTACCGAAGCTGCTAAAACCTGCTGAAGTGCGAATTAGACCAAAATTAAAATGAAACAATTGCACATCTTCTGGATTTGATAATGACAGGAAAAGAACTAATAAATTTGTTATGACCAAGATGACCGCAGATCTTTCTTTCAACAAAATAGAGAAGATCGAGAATTTAAGCGGGTTGACGGGGCTTCTGGACCTGTCCCTATACAATAACAAGATTACCGTGCTTGAGGGCCTTGAGGCGTTAGAAGAAATTAAGTCGCTATCTTTGGGAAACAATCAAATTAAAGACCTGGACAAAGTATGTAGACGGAAATTTAATGTCTTTTAACTTCACACCAGCTGGGTCTATTGCCATTCAACATGCTAAAATTTGTTTGAAATAGTCCCCCATATCTAATATCTTGATATCTAGTTTTCGATGCCTTCGTCAGCTGCTATGTTGACAACGTGACAAGCTACCTTTTTTGCAAGTTAGGTTCTCGATCACTGTCTAATATGTCAATTGCCAAGATGGGTGATAAAAAGTTCACATGAAGCATAGTTCGCTGCAGGTATTGTATCTGCGACAATTTCGTTTCTTACGGTTACTGTGTCTTGAAGGCAATCCCCTCTGCATGGTAATATTTCAGAATCTCGTCTGTCGTTGAATTTGAGTACTGCTATGGACATACCGCAGAAACCAAGCATTTGGAGTAATAAGCTTTTTTGCACGACATTCGGATACATCCAAATTCATCAAGTTGATGAACACAACGACCTAATTTCTCTCTGAAACACTATATTCGAGGAGTCACAAACTTTCTGCTATTTGATTAAAACGCTGGATGTTAGCATGACGTTTTCCATTTTTCTAGTGTTACTTGGCACAAGCTTACCTATGCTACTTTTTAGGGGAGACATATTTAGTGACAGGGTACTTGCAGACACCGTATGGGTTGTCGTGGTATTGTCTGTTAGTTTGAATCATGAGAATATTTTTCTGCATATAGATATTCTTTTGTTGCAGATTTGTGCAGGACCCAGAGTACAAGCTTTTCACGATAGCATGGATGCGCAACTTATTGTACCTCGATCATCATTTCTGCTTTGCAAGCTTGGTAAACAGGATATCCTTCGTTCCTCAGCCCAGATATGCCTCAATCCCAACTATTCAATCGAATGCGAGATGAGCACTGTACTGAGAATTTTGTAACACAAAAGTGCTGCATTTGCGCTTTGTCGCACATAACTAATGTGCGCTGCTGTGGTTCCAGGTCAAACAAGCTAGAGAAGTGTATCAAGATGCAATGACAGAAGTGCAGGAGAAGGACAAGCTGGACACCATTGCCTGGACCCAACGCAGAGCATCCAGGGTTCAAATCAAAACATTCATGGTGCGTTTTGAATTTGTTGGTTGCAATGTCAAAAATCAAGTGTAATCTTCCGGGTTTCGCTTTGCTCACTCGACCCAAACTAGAGGATAGCAGTAGTTTCTGTTAAAGTCTGTATAGGGATTCTTAATGTTAGTACATTTCTATCAACTTTTACACGGTAAAATTGACATGGAAAAAAAAAAAAAAAAAAAAAAAAAAAATTGTAACTGATTTCCATTGTTGTAACTTTTACGCAGTTGGCACATCTAGATCATGTTAACGAGTTCTTTGACTATATGTTTGAAAAAGATCCTGAGCACCGCAAACTTCTGACAATACCCGGGCTGGTTGTAGCTGGAATCGATGCGTATCCTCAAACACAATACTTTAAGCTTCCTAGCCTTGTTGATTATTGTAATTTGAACGGTAGATATCGATGACTTAAAGTTTAGGAATTTTCATCTCAACAAAGTAGTGCAGGTATCGCCAAAAGTTTAGAACTGCGGCAGATGATCTGATCGCGAAAGTAGTCGGACTTCACGAAAAACGATGTGAGGAGAGGCGCCTGTATGAGCTTGCCGTTCAGGGTGTCCTCGCACGGCGAGATGGTGAAGGTCGTGAACTCCTTCGAAGTTTGCACAAAAAGAAGAAAAAGGTGTATTCAAATTTAATTTTTGTCGTCATACTCATGTGGAGTACCATTAACAAATGTGAACAATATAAGTTTGTACTCATCATTTCATAAGCTGCTCTGGTGTCTAAATAGTGTTGACTTCACCAAGAGCCTCAATAGTCTGTGACGGATAAACATAGTCCCTGCTGTGCCCCCCCCCAAAGAGATTGAGTGCCAGAATCACTCAAATGTCCTGAAAAACAAACACACATTATCACATTCTGAAGAGTTCGCGGTTCATCGAAACAGCTCATCTTCTACTCTACCTTTCGAATGGTTCTGATCTATAGCGGCTCATATCTGTGCAGGTGTTTCAACATTGTCGATCGGACCGGACCACTGCAGAGGCGAACATGATGGAATTGTATACCGATATAGACGTTTTAAAAGAAAAGTTGTTCGAGATTGAAGTCGAAACTTATGGTGAAATAAATGTACGCATATCCGTGCTACTTAATTGATATTTAAAACTAGTGGTTAAGTTCGTTACGAATTTTGTGAAGCGAGCGATGTCGTGTTCTAATGTTCGCAGTGATGATGTAGAGAGCTTTTGACGTGACAATAATTCCTCTAGCTTAGTCAGAGGATTTTCCATATTCTTCTTTTCAGGCTTCTTATGGTGCTTTTGCTTGATCTGTTCAGAAATTGTGGAATGAATTTGAAGATTCGTTTTACGAAACCCTTGATCATGCCAAAAATTTCTTCGCAGATTTATATCCTCTTCTTGAAAGTTCAACTATTTTGCTCCATCTTGTGTAGTGGATAATAAAGTCGCTATAGATTAATTTTTTTGACCTTAACATCAATATTCACCTTCGGTCAACTAAGAACGGCAGAGGGCGAATGGTCTGAAACTCTACTAACAGCTTCAGCAGCTATCGCAGAAAGATACGATGCTGGTGATGTCGAAGAGGAAGTGGATGACGTTGCTTTTGCTGTGAGCAACTCCAGTCATATCTTAAATACGTTAATAATAGACTAGTGTTTTAATACAAATCTGCTCTTAACACACACACAAAAAAAAAAAATCAAGTTATCAATGAACCGTGCAGCTATTATCCGACAGAGAGGCGATGACCAATTGCATTTCAGCCTCGAAAGATGGACATGGGCTCACAATGGATATGGAGGTTTTCTCTTCAACTTTCCTCGAAGCTTCTTTAGTACTTTAAAAAAATCCTCTCAACCTATGCGACGTTAACATTTTCTTGACCTGGTCACAGGAGGATATGAAAGTAAAGGCCATTGAAGCTTTGCGAAAGAAAACTTACGAGGAAGGCATCATGTTCATGATCAAGCGTAACCGAGAAAAAATCTCTGAAATCTGGTTCATAATTGATAAAAATAGAGACGAAATCGATTTCATGAAGCAACAAGTCCTTCATGGTGATGTTTCTAGTGTGCGAGCTTGATTTCCAGGCATGTTATTGCAGCATCCTGAACCAAAGATGCTTCCTTTGCACCCTCTACTGGCTTAACATGATTACTAAGTGAAAGAAATGACAATATTGGTTAAGATAACGTAGAACATAAGTTAGAACGATGAGAAAAAAAAGAAAAAAAAGAAAAATATTACCATTTGAGAGCGCTCCACGTAAAAACAAAACAACGTGAACCTCGTGGGCTTCATCAGCAGGTGGCAAGGAAGCATGCTTTCTTGGACACTTCTGCTCATACAAATAAGGCCATTAAACTAGTGCACCTGCACAGTTGATTGTTGAGTTGAGGGAGGCCACACGCGGAAAAATTTGCAGCTGTTCGGCTGCATATTCGAAAATCATGAGCATGTGCTGCACAAGATGGTGACCAATACTATCATGATCCACTCAAAGCCCCATATAGATTCTCGTCAAAGCCGCAGGGTAATTGGTGTTAGTTGACAATGGTCCTTGTCATTCAGAATTTTATTCAGTAACTAGTGCTTAAGTGTGTATGTTTGGGTATGGATATGGTGTAGATATGATTGTTTATGCTCCAAATAAGACGCTTAATAAATAAAATAAAATAGACAAGGTGGTGTTGATATGAAGATATTATTCAATATGATGCAATAAGTTTAAGTTTAGTGGATTTTTTTTTCAAAATCAACTTAAAACGTGATTTTAAAAGTTAATGTATTCTACCATTGTTGTGGTCATTGAAATTGAGATAAAATTTTATAATACCTCTAAAACCACTAAAATATATTATAAACTTGAATTTATAAGCAAGTAGTAAAACCCAGGTTAAGGTGAAATATGGTGTGTGAGAGTTTCTACCATTTGTTAAGTTACAGCAAAACAAATAGTTTCATGTCATAATTATAAAAAAAAATGAAACACATCATGGTATATTTATCTTCACCATCTCAATAGAATCAATGACATAATGTTTTTTTTTTTTTTTTTTTTTTTTTTTATCGCCATGATACAAAAAAGTTATGTGATTTTCTCGATGCAAATTAGATAAGGTATATAAATATATAAAAAATATAAACAATATTGATAGAAACAATCGTAACATGCAATAGGCCATTGAAATAAAAAGTTGAGATTTGAAAATGCATGAAAAAAATGGTAAAACTTTTAAATAGAAACACATAACTTTGCAAGAACCTTGTTAAATATTTAACCCCATACATGATAGCATTTTGCCAAAAACGATCTAGACTTCAAAAAAATAATTCCTACCATACTATACTTGTATAGTAGAAGGTGATTTGAAAACAAAAAAAAGAAAAAAAGAAAAAAGAGACTGCAGTCATCTTTGACTCTTCAACAATTGCATTTTAGAAAATATATGTAGCACACCTTCATGTATGAGATACATAGTACATAAGAAAACCATTTGAAGCTGAACTCGTTAAAGAATCAGCTACCTGTGCAGCATACATTCAAAGGCAGACTACGGTGCATGGATTGGGACCCATTCAAGCGATAATTCTAACTCTCCCCTCTCCACATTCTTGAGCTTAAAAATTATGTCCTGTTTGATTACCCCGTCGATCACCTCAATGTTGCTATCTTCGATTAGAGAGTTGTCGCTAGTAGCGAGCCATCGACCTATTTTCTCAGAACCAAACGCTTCAAACATACCTTGGTGCATCTGCGCAGCCAGGATGAGAGGGTTGAGGTCCACTTCTGCCGTTCCCATGGAATCATCGGCTGAAAACACATCATGATCAAACACTTCCTGCAATTACAAGGGTATCACACCAAGTCTTCTTAGCAAATGATCAAGCCATTCAGTGAATTCATCTTGGTAAATTCAGTGTTCACCCATGAGAACTTTGTACAAGCACTTATACAAATATGGTGATAGGTGATGAGTAGGTCAATATTAGTGTTCGTGGATGGAAATGTAAGATGATTCACAAGCCTGCACATATTCTAATCTACCAAGATATTCAGAATAGAAGCATGATATGTTGGAGTATACTGATTGTTCATGTATAGAACATCTTACAACCGGCATCGAACAAGTGGGGTTCATGAAATATCAGCATTTAATGAAATTGTTCCCTATACTTGACAAAGTCAATGATAGAATTCCATACAGGTAGTAAAAACTGACTAGCAAACTGAATCCAATATTGTACAGATAGTTTTTCCTTTGCAAACGTACCAGCTTGACCGGTTGTGGAGGGTTTCCGACTGAGAAGTAGAATTCTTCTTTCCAGACTGGGTTGAGATTTCTGTTCACCACTCCAGTTTTAAAGGTCTGCAGCAAATGAAAATACGAATCGATGAGATCTGACACTTACGTGACTTCTCCATCCAACATTATCCGCCCCAGTAACAAATACAGAGGCTGATGGAACCCAGGAAATTACAAACAAGTTTATTAATAATAAAGGGGTTTGTTGTAAGATGCGACTAAGAGCTGAAGCTATCATGCAATACAAATGCATACCTGCGTTCCATAAGAGACAGAAACGTAAGGGTCACTAGACAGAAGGTCTCGAACAACCAAGCTCCTGCCTCTTATGATTGTCACTTTCAACATCCCCAACGACTCTTCTTTGCGAGCCTGTTACCCCACAAGTCCTCAAAACGTTCGAATATTAATTTTAGTTACGTGTCCCTACCGAACGTGAACACTTGGCTCCTAAACCTGGAATTATTTGATAAAGTGAAGGATATTATGTATGAATTACTCTTGCATAAAAGCATATAATTCTAAAAGCAGTATACTCCGCTACGCTATTAAGTTCACAATGAGGTACATCAAGAAGCTGCAACTTTCCTTCTTAATTTTATGGAACAATGAAGCATTAACTAACTGGGCATTACCGAGCTGGAAGAGCTGGAACGGGATGACACTCCACCACTTCTTCCACTTGAAGCCAAGGAAGAAGAGTTCGAGTAGTTATTAAAACTACCTGGTGGGGTTTCACCCTGATTTAGTCGAGATGATCTAGAGTTGCTAGTCACCGAATCTCTGTTGTTGTTCACTGAATCCCTGTTGCTAAGTGCTGATGGGTTCAGGCTCGTTGGTTCCGTGCTGGAAGAAGACCTTGTACGAGAAGTAGCTTTCATTCGCAAGTTTGGTTTCAAAAACTCTTGATCCTCATATTTGCGCCTGCACAATTTGGTGAACGTCAGATAAGTAGTAGAGTAGTTGTATAAGACGTCTTTCAAAAAATCTTGAAGTACAAAAGAATGCTTCACATTTAAAGATTCCTGCAGTTCAATATTACAGAAGACTGATGCGTGAAATAAATTATATTAATCAAAACAGATATTACAAGATAAAACGATATCCAAACATTGAAGAACATTCAAACTAAAGTATGGGTGCAAGTGTTTCTCCCCACATTAACACTCCTATCCATAGTAAGATAAATAATTGAGCAAATCGATCACCTTATAAAGTCAGTACGTTCGTCAATAGATGCATTTGGAGAGGGCTTTCGAACATCAGAAGGTATGCACTTTTCATAGACAGAGTTAGCTGCTGCATTTCCACCCACGGCCTCCATGACCTCAACTTGCTCATCTGACCATTCTTCGAGATTCACAGAAACCACCTGGAACAGGAGTACTAGATCTTAGGTCTAACACACTGCATTCTCGTAGCACTTGATTACGATTCAGAAAACGTAAAATGTCATGCTACTTAGTTTAAAGGAGAAGAACCCTTCCTGTGTGATATGGAGAAGTAATAGCTTTCAGCTCAATTTTGGCACCAAAGCCGCAATGAATGAATCAATGAAGACAACGATTGAACTTGATCATGCAAATACTACGGATATATCTCGAAATCTAGATGGTGGACTTACAGTGGAGATGTGTGCACCAAGGTCGCGGTGCACCTCATAGCACTTGGTGCATATAAACACTCCTATACTTGTCGATCTGTGTAAACCCATTTTACAGAACAGTGTCAATAAAGCCTACGATCTAAGAATTTTTCTAAGTAATTATATTTGAATAATAAATAAAGGGACGCTCTACACTGGATATCTTCACAAAACCCGTCGAACACAGACTGGAAGAAGAAAAACGAGAGAGATTAGAGACTTACGCCCATTTTGGATAAGGGGCCCTACAATCTGCACACAGACGGTTGTCCGGTTGTTGCAGCAATTTCTTAAGCTTATCCATTACAAATTTTTCTGCGCAATCACACAAAAAAAAAAAAAAAAAAAAAAAAAAAAAATCAACACCCTAAGCTCGTCTCAGAACTGAACTCCCAACAACTACCTTCTTCCCGACAGTGCTAGGCAAACAAACCGCGGTATCCAAGATTCGACGACTCATTTCAAAATCCCTTGAACTAAATCCAATACTCTACTCCCGCCGAACCTTACAGAATTTACAAGCATAGCTTAGCACGGTGCGCAAACTAAGAAAACAGAAACCACATGTCGTGGTCTCAGAAATGTGCTGCTCGTCACTAGTGCTTCGACCACATCGTCAGAATCCAACCCATCCCAACCTGGGCAGGAGCCGGTTTCATGCAAAAGGGATGAAGCGCAAGTGAATTATACACAAGGGATAGGTAACGCAATCAAGCAACGACTCTTGGAGGGAAAAGAAACCTCAGATTCGAGTCGAATATACCGAAGACACGGCGAGGCACTGGAGTTCTAGCGGCGAATCGACCAGACCCACAACCGAAGCACAGAGCAAATGCTTCGAATCCTGCTCACCGATCCTGTACCGACCGGGGCAGCGAGGCTGCAGCGTCGTTGCGGAGCGGAATGCGAGCGCTCCGACGCAGACTGAGTACACAACAACAGCAACAACAACAACAACAGCAGAATACGAGGAATCCGAAACACAAACTGGCTGTCGATCTGCGGCAAAACAAGTCCAGTCTCGGTGCGGCTCCGATCTGGTGCCACTGCCGCAGCTCCTGGTCCCCCATTCCGCTCAGGTCTTGATTCACGTCTCGGGACCTCGTCCAGGTCCGTGATGTGGATGAGGATATCGATTGATTTCCTCATGGTCTGGCTGAAATTTGGGCAGTCTACCTCCTCGTTATATATGTATTTTTATTTAATTATTATTATTATTATTATTATTATTGGCTAACCCTAGGATTAACATAGTAATAGATATTTTTTAGTTTTTTAGTTTTTCCAACTTAGTGTATTTTTAGTTTTCCAACATTTAAGTGTATAGAACTTATTGGTTGCAAGACTCCAACACTACCCACAGTACTCGAAGATTTCTTAAGCATTTTTGTGATGATCTGTAAGAATGCATTAAACATGTCTATTTTTAGATATGTTATTGAAATTTTGATGGACCCATTTTTTCATGCATAAAATAAAAACATATGTTTATAAATTATATAGTAAATTTAAGATTCAAAAAAAATTCGTACCATTTTTATACATCTTATTTTTGATAATTATAATGACAATAAAAGCCTTATCTTAAGAATTCCCAACACATTCTGTGGTTCTACATGGGCTTTATTTAGGTGTTTTGGTACAGAGAGGCTATTAACTACAGATGCTGATAGAACCATATTTAAAAAAATTGCCAAAAATTGTTGAGAAACTTAAGACAATTAAAATTAAAATTAATATTAGATTTTAAATTTTAATGTAATTAAAAGATATTTATTATTATATACATCTTATGATTTTTTTATTATTATTCTCATCAATGAGTTTTTCTAAGATTTGAAGTAGTACAACTGTCATTAAATCCATTTTATTCCATTATAATTTATTTTCGAAAAATTCTCTTACCACATACAAGATTACATAAATGTTGGTGGAAATATGATGATATATAAAAAGTTTCAAGGTTATATTTATATTTATTTTCAATTTTTAGCTGATTAATTAAATAGATTTAATATCAAAAAACCACCATATATATTTTTAAATAAATAAAAAATATTTATATTCTTAATTATATGGTTTTTAATTATTCCATAATCTACGTAAAATGACATTCAAAATATTTTTAGCAAACCAACATACCAAAGGAGTGTTTATACTTTGGAAACAAGATGAGTGGCTACAACTTTCAAATCCTTACTCATATGAAATCGAGTTAACTTTATGAGATAGGAACATCAACTCAAAGGTTGTAAGAGGAAAAGATTAATAACAGTTATAATACAACATGAACAGTATCATCTCTTAGGATTTTCTTTAGCCCCCCCCCCCCCCCCATAAAAAGTTGATTTTTAAGAAAAAAATAGAGAAGTGGTGTGAAATAGACCTAAAATCAACAACTAAACAATAAAATATTTCAAAAAGAATATTTATTATAATTATTAGAATAGAAAATGTAAATTAATAAATTTGATGTATAATAAAAAAATGATTTTCTCTGTTTCATAATCTCTTCTCATTGTATACTACCTTAAAAGTCCAATTCTTTAAAGAGAAATTTTTTCTTTACAACGTAGGAGACCTTTGCAAGACTTTTTGTACTATAGCCTTTGAAAGTGGACTTCTAGATATATATATAATAAAAAAACTCCATAAATTATTTTTAATAGTTAAAAATATACATAAAAAGAAAAAATATATATATTATTATTATTATTATTATTATTATCATATAGTGGACATTTCCAAGAGAAATTTATTCCCACCACTTGAGTTACCATTTGATGGACCGGCCCATGAAATCCCGAACCACTAAACCTCACTAGCCGACCGGTCCTCAACCTCTAGAGGGTCTCAACCGCAACAGGGCCGCAGCCCTCAAGCGGGCCTCACCTCGACCTTCGGAGACGGAGTTGAGGTGAATAGGAGGTCGATTCTAACCCTAACGGTCGGGTGTGGGGCAGACATTCTGAATGGAACCGTCGTCCCGGAGAGGAGAGGAGGGAATGGACACCCTAGTGTGTGTGCAGAGCTCGTTGTTCCGTAGACGTTGCAATGGACGCTTGCTCGGGACCCAGATTCGTTCTTCGTCTTTTTCTCTGACAATTTTTTGGTGTTTTGTGGGCATAGATCTTGCCTGCGTCGCTTGTGAGGGTGTCCAGACAGAGAGAGAAAAGTTTCGGCGGGGGCTTGCGTTTGTGCAATTCGCAGCTTAAACTGCGTGCTGTGAAGTGTACTGTCTCCTTGTGGCTAGAATCGACTTGGGAAGGCGAAACGATCGTGTGGCGGATTAAATACGCAACTTCTTCTGTTTTTTCGCTAGGATTAGCTTGTAAGTTAGGTAATGCGTTTATTGAGTGAGATGCTTTTTTTTTTTTTTTTTTTTTTCCCGTCTTTTATATATTGTTTGGGAGTATCCTACGGCTGAAACGCGCCCATGACTAGAAGATTATGTCTCATGTGTTTTTGTTTTTGGTCCTTCTGAAGGGTGGGGGAGAGGAAAGTGACTAGAAAGTTTATGGGTTCGAGAGGTCAGAGGACACATCTGCTCAGTTTAATCCTCCTAGAGGCGGTGACCACAAGCTTTGGAACATCACCGGTCTCACCCTTAAACCTGACCTAGTGCATATGTTTACCTGGGTTGCTGCAGATTGTGGTCAATTAGTGCTCCTGTGTCGGACAAAATATTACGTTTCAAAGTAGATGTGATTGGTTTCCTCATCTGAAGCGTGTGAAAGCTCGAAGGGATGTTTTCCCTTCTGTATGGTCTTTGGAACTATCTATTTAGTCATGCTGAGTTTCATGTGCTCATACTGGGAATCGACAAGTCTGGGAAGACCACGCTGCTTGAGAAGCTCAAAACTCTTTACTCAGACATTGAAGGTCTACCACCTGACCGAATTGTTCCAACTGTAGGTCTTAATATCGGCCGGGTGGAAGCTCATAAAACAAAGCTCATCTTCTGGGATCTGGGGGGACAACTAGGGCTACGAAGCATTTGGGAAAAGTACTACGAAGAGGCTCATGCAGTCGTTTATGTAGTGGATTCCGCAAGTAGAAACCGGTTCGAAGATACTAAATCAGCACTGGAGAAGGTCGTCAGACATCCTGATTTGCAAGGCGCTCCGATTCTGGTTTTCGCCAATAAGCAGGACTTGCCGAATGCAGTGAATGCAGAGGAGTTGTCTCGATATTTGGAGCTCAAGGATCAAAAGAGCGTTCAGCTGAGAGTTCAGGGCATCTCAGCTTACGAGGGGACTGGTATACAGGAAGGAGTGTTGTGGCTTGTAGAGGCTATGAAGAACAACGTGAGAACATTGCAGCTGCAGCGTCAAGCTGAAGCGGCAGTGACATTGTAAAGCTCTTATGATGGTCATAAATTGGATGTCCTTGGAGAACTCGATCAATCGCTCACGTAAGAATACTTATCCCGATTGAGTCCTTTCACACAATAAAGCCGCTAATTGGTGTTTTCATCCTCGGATTAACATATCTGTTTCTGATTCATTGGTATATTCCAACCCGAGATGAGCGAATTGTGCCCCATCTTGTCGAAACTGTTTAAATCTGATGTTCAAGCATACTGCGCTTTTCACTGGAACATAAAAAGTTGACTCAGAACCATGACCTTGCAGTCCTTTGGACCTGAGTTATGAGCTCAAATTTTCTCAATGGGCAATTGCTTTGACTTCGCTTTAGTGCTCACGCCAATGAGTTCAATGATCCTTATCTCTTTAGGTACCAGGATGAAAACACTTTGCTAGAGTTTTGTTGTCAAATACATGTCCGAAAAGCCTGCAGTATTTTTATTTTTTTTGTTAACAGGAAACCAGTTGCAAATTCTTCATTTGCCTTGCATGATAAGTACGAAAAACCGATAGTTTGTTCGCCTGTTAATGTCCTCAGGGTTTTGGTTGTGTTTACGAAGAGATGGTTCCTGCTTCTGCTTGTTATGCAAAGTGGCGGTCACAAAAATGGCTAACAGCTGATGTGCATTTTGTGGCATTCCACCTCAAACTTTACATAGATTTCTGTGTTGCTTTTTGATTTTTTCATTTTGAGTGGCTTTATTGGAAACGAAGAAGAGATAAATTTGGAAGTAATGTCACCAAAGGTGGGGTCAGATGGTTTGGGTTTTGGATGATGATGCTCATCTATATCACTAGATATTATCTTGTTTACTACCAATTTTAATGTAGGTAGCATAAATCTCTTTTTTTTTTTCTTTTTTTTTTTTAAAAAAAAATATTTTTTTGTTGGAGCTTATTACAAATGCAAATAGATTAGACTCTCAACAATGCAGTTTAGGAATCAAATGCAAGAATTCTGTTTCCAACCTCTCAACCCCCATGGGTATTGTTTAAAAACCAGTGGACTAAGCTAGTTGAAGGGATTCTAAATACAAGACAAATATCAACATTTTCAACTATTACTTTTATTTACTCATTTAGTCACAAGCAATTATTTCTAATATTTTAAATTTGTAAACTTTAAAAGAATTGAAATCGAATTTGAAATGTGTAATACAAGATTCTAAATTTGGAAAAATCGAATTTGAAATAAAATTGAAATTGAATCCATATTTGGTGTAACACTTTGCTTAATGTATATCAAATCCATACTTTCAGAATCTTGTATACATGTTGAAAAATTATTGTATGACTTAAAACAAATTCCAAAAACATAGATTTAAAAAACATATATGTGTATATATTCTTGCTTATAAATGATTTTACAAGATACAAGATTATTAAATATCATAATTTATAATATGTAGAAAAAGAAGATTACATGTATTTTATTTCTTTATTTTGTTTTTAACACTCACTTATATAAAATAGAAATTTAAAGGATTAAATATATAAATATCTATATATTATTTGTGATAAATGAAATATTTTATTTTTATGTGGTATTTTTATTTCCTATAATTTAAAGATATAATTAGTATTTTTTATAGTCAACTTTATCAAAGTTAATATAGAATTACAATCAATCTATTTTGCTGATTCCAATTTGCACCACCTAAAGTAACCTTG